CCTCGGGGGGCATAAATCAGAATTAGGCTGGTCGTATATCACGCGCAGCTCGCTCGTAAATCGCTCGGCGACAGAATCCGCGCTAATAAGCGACTTGTCGGATCGATAATTAGCCAAGATCGTTATATAAATCGATTCTCAAACATTGCAAAAATTCTCCTTCCCACAAACCTTTGTCCCCCCTCTACACACTAACATTTCTTAACCGAAAAAGCGCCAGATAGAAAGCACGCAACTGTTCCACGTTTGATACGTTCAAATAAACGGTGTTATAGGTACAGCCGTTGTTTTGCAAGCGGTGAAAAGTCTTCTGTGTTGAAGATTTCGCGATCTAACCGATCAAGCTTGAGTACAAGCGACGATGTGTGGCCGATGAGCGTTCCAGCTCGAGTTGCACAAGTGAAAGAGTGCCACGGCGAGAGTGTTGTGGCCTGAGTCTCTACAGCTCGGCGAGTATCGAGCCGCGGCGCGGACGTTTACTTGAAATGTCAAGGATGCAACCGCGAGCATGTAGAGAGCGCACGCGCGCGAGCGAGCTGGCGCGATAAACGGACCCCATGAGAGACAATGGCGGCCTGAGGCGCGGAGGAATTGTTATTTTGTCACGCATGCCTTCGATTTACGTGCACGCCGCGTTCCTCCCGCGAAAAACCCAGCGTGTTTAAATGTTTCTGCCAGCCCACGGGCGCGTAATGGTATTCCGTGGTGTCGAGGATGCGTTCGATTGGTTGTTCGCTGTCGATCGTATCGATTATTGATGAGGAAAGACGGTTTTCGTTGGATCGTTGCGGTTATGAAAGTTGAAATTGACGGAGGAGGTTTGGTGAAGATTTTTTTATGATTGAAATGTCACGTTTGGATTTGTCGAAGGGGTTAACTGTGTTTTAGGGTGACAGTGAGTTTGGTTTAATTTAGATTGAGTTGCTGGTTAGACAGTATCATTGTCGTGTTTTTATTATGCGCACGAATATATAGAATGCGTAGATAAATGTGAACAGTAATATGTAACAGGTGATAACAATATCAAGAACAATACTTAATACTTTCTTTCTCTCGATTCATACGTATAATAAATTTTTCAAAAGAAAGGTTATAAAACAAATTAAATATTTTTATTATGCAGTCGAATATATAGGATGCGTAGATAAATGTGAACAGTAATATGTAACAGGTGATAACAATATCAAGAACAATACTTAATACTTTCTTTCTCTCGATTCATTCATATAACAAATTTTGCAAAAGAATTACACATTTTTTAAAGAATGGTTATAAAACAAATTAAATCTCCTCCTTCCTCGAAACCCGATTAACTGAATTTCCTCGCTGAAATCAAGTGCACTGTGAACAAATGGATGAGCAAACACCGCCTCACGAGTGTTAGTATAAATAGAATGCTGAATGGAAAGCAAAAGTAGAGCACCCATACAACCATCCTACACCAGTAAAAAGTATTACATTATAAAAAAGGAGTACTACAACCTCTTACATATTATTTCAGAATAACTTAACGTCTGACGAAATACCTTGCATTATCGGAACACACGCTCAGCCATCGAACGCGTTTAACCCGCCACGACCGAGGTACGGAAACGAATAATGGAACTAGCAGATGAGTCAGTGATACAAGCGCGATTATTCATACGTCCGCGTAGTGCGATGTAGTTCAAGCTTCTCCGTGATTCTATACTGCGAAGTATATGTTCAACTGTTTCAAAGCGTTCTCACATCGACCAGATAACGTTCTAGCTGCTCCAAAAATTCCGGTTGCACTCTGTTTACGAGTACCATTTCGCGGTTCGTAAAACGCGTTACTGCGTCCGAGGATCGGCGCGAGCAATAAACCGCTAGAGAGTCTCTCGCTACGAATCTCTCGTTGCCCCCGAGAGCCTCTTCGTTAAAACTAATTATCAACTGTAGCCCTAACCTCTTCTTCCCCTCTCGCTCTCTCGTGTCCCGCTCTTAATTATCGAAGGCGTCGTAAAAAGCGTTTCGTCCCTCTGGCGAACTTGCATTTCTATCTACCGGTTCGCTCACAGCCCACAATTACGCAGCGTTTATCTGCTTTCGACGCGGGGAAACGACGAAGAGACGTGTCTGTTTTTCGGTAGACGATGATAAAAGCGTCGAAACGCGTGCGTTCTCCAGACATGCTGTCTGCCGTGGCTAGCCGATATCGAAGCGTTTCCTGACCGGAAAGATACCCGGACGAGCCTCGAGGTTTCCGTAGGCATGTTAGTCGTACTGGAATTATTTTTTGGTAGCGCGTGCTCGGTCAATTATTGCCCAAATTTTATTGAAACGAGTTTGTTCGAGCTATTGTAGTATCGGGGCCTCCATACTAAAATATGAAACCGACAAGGGAAAATAGAGAGGGAGTAGTTGGCGTAGTGTGCAAAGCCTCGGCTTGATAACCCGAAGGTCCCGGGTTCGAATCCCATTGGGTCCTCAAAATTTTTTTCCGTCGATTCCTACACTGTCTGCATATTATTGTAATTCTCCCCCGTTTCTGAAGGCAAAGGGTGTTCACAGAGAGTTTGAAAAATCACCTTGCCGGGAATATCCCGATCGCAAAGAGTTAGTTAACATTCGCATTTTTCCGAAGAAACACACTCATTACATGACTCCTCTGACGGTACTTCGCGTTGAAAGTGTGCGTGTATCTGTGTGCAAGTACGTGTAGATCGTGTCGAAATCACGGAACGAAGGCTATCGGTCGGAGCGTTGTAAATTTTCAGACAATCATTAGCCAACAATGTGGACGGTTGCCATTACAGGGCAACTCGGTTGGGTCGTGCGTTGTCTAGCCAACGTGTGGCATTAAACCTTATAAGCGTGGCCCCGTCGTCAGCGTGCGTAGATCGTAGCATTTCCATTGTGTGACGCAACCACGACTCCGCAGCCGCGATTAATTATCGATGGCAAATCCAGATACTGGTTTGAATAGGAGCCGGACCCGTCGCTCGCGTATTTCGTCGATTACGATATCGCGCCCGGCCATCTGTTTTCAGTAAGCAAGTAGGAAAGATCGCTCGGAGTGATCGAAGTTGCCCGATGATGAATCGACCGAGCTTCGAACTTATCGGACAATCGGAGGAAAGTTTGAACTTTACGTCGGGACGGTTCGGAGGATTATCGAGTTGAATTTCGCCGGGAGATTTATAAGAGAGACGGCGGTGGAAATTCGACGCGTAGATTTGGCCCGAGCGATTGATATATTATTGCGGTCGAGAGTGATCAGACGATTCGGATATCTTGTGTAGTCTAGGTAGGCTGGGATATTTGATTCGAATAATCAGACGTTTTAGTAATTCGCGTTGTAGATCGCGAGATAGGAGAGAACGAATGTATGCGATTTTTAATCGTTTGTTCGAATGTCGTACATTTCGTAGATTCCGATCTAGGCGGGTTCAAAAGAGTTTAAATCGTTTTCAATCTATCTGTAAGCGTTCTATCAACGTTCTCAGAAAATTTATTGTGCTGTGTGGGACATTGAATCTCTTAGATATGACGTTAAAAATCGGTAGAAAGTTTACACCGTTGTTCGTAGGTATTGGAACACGCGTTATGTTTGTGCAGAAAGTATTATGTGATTGAAATTGATTGACATCATGTATCAGTGAAGATAAACGTACAGTCGGTGGAATAAGTATAGTGCAATTGTAAATGGTGACAGTGATAGACAACTTAAAATTGTCAATTAGCATTTTTAATGTTTGAAATCTTTTCTGTGCCTGAATTGACGTGTTGTGATGGCATGGTGACTTATCTTCTCGTATTTCCGTCAATCCCCTTGTCAACACACTGAAAACACGTTTACTTTGACGCATATTTAATTCACCGACTATACTCTTTATACTACGAGATTCCAGACTGAATAATTTTGTAATGACAGTTTAGGTTCACTTCACATTCAGTAAGTGTTCTAATACTTATGAAAGGGAATGTAACTCGCTGCTCTACCTTAGTTCTTGGAAATGCAAGTGTAACTTCCTGCTAAACCCTTTCGCTCCAGCACGCTTGTGACAAAATCTGCTCGTAAACGAATCGTGTCGCGATATACAGTCAACTGAAACTTCCACAAACTTTGTGACGAATAGACTGCTTACTTTTACTCATTTATGAAAAATTTAAAGGTACGAAAATGCGCAGAATGCACATATTAAGCAGAAAGATATGAATAAACCCAAAATATAGCAAAACAATTACCTATCTAGCTTCTACTTTTTCAATCGTACTCATAAAAATGCTCAGTCTGCTGATGAGTTAAAATTGTTGCGTCGTGGACTTTGATCAAATGTTATGACCAGGAGTCTGGCGCAGGTTGTTGATAGTTCTCGTTGGTTCGAGGTGGAATGAAACTTGATTGTCGGGTTAGATGTTTTTCTTTCGGTTCGTTGATGTAGATGTTTGATAGATGATTTGCTTTCGGTTCGTTGGTAGATGTTTAGTTGAAATTCGGTTATTCTTTTTTTTGACGATGTGTCTCGTGCACTCGATGTACTGTTAATACTCGGTTTTCAGGTGTGTAGATGTATATATAGGAATTAGGTTGGTTCTGATTGGTGGTTGTGTTATGGAGGTGGAAAACGTGGTGTGTTCGGCTATTGGTCGACGAAAACTGTGACCTTTTGGTAACGAATGTTTTATGGTCCCGAGTGTTTTTGGGACCTATTGTCTGAATGTCGCGCTGGTGAGTCCACGGGGGGAATATTGCGGTCTTCCGAACGTCGGCACCTCGGTCTGGCGGCCAAATGTGACTAAGTGGCTTATTACTATAATCCGCCGAACCGAGACTTCGTTGCGTCCTCATCAGGTCGCAACAAAAATTATTTATTGAAGCAATAATAATAATTATCACACGTGAACGCATACTCATCGAAAGGGTTAACAAACTCATTAAATCTCCAACAAATCTCGTTGCATCCTCTCACAAAACATAGACTCTCGTCAAATTCTCGAACCACCAATCTCAAACGACTCTTCCTTTCATTTTTCAGACCGAGTACCGCGACGAACTGGCGAGGATCGAGTGGTCCTGGTGGACTCTGACCTGTCCCGTCTGCCTCTGCCGGACTTGGTGCTGTCCGCTGTGGAGCAGCTTCCGGCAGTGACGCCCCAGGTAACCGTGTCCGCTCCCAGCAGCCCAACTAGGGACGCGGCGTTCCAGTTTCCGGAGTGCAGCGGTGACGAGAGCGGATTGGCACCGGTGCCAAGCCCGAGGCCACGGCCACGAAGACGCAGGCTCGCCTCGGAGGGTGGTGGCCCCGCGGCCACGAAGAAGGGACCCGTCGCAGAGCCGACCTGCAACAGCTGCTGCGGCCACTTTGGACAGGCGTTCAACGAGAGCCAGTGGGCGAGCGTGGGTGCCAACCTGAGGAACATCGCCGACGACTTCCATGCGTCCAAGACCAAGGTCGGTGGATTTTTCAATGGTTTTGGATGATTTATTCGTTTTTTAAGGAGTTTGGTGTTGGTACTTGTTTATTTACTCAGTTTGCGGGACGTTGCGATGCAGAATTAAGTGCAGAAAGGATCTGAAATAGTTATACACACTTATCTTGATTTGCAATTTTTAAGTCAACGAGGTGACGGAAGATTTTGCATTGCGAGGTGCAGTGGAATATAAATTGAGCCACTTGACTCCACTTTTTGATAGTCTTCCAATTTTAGTGTCAAAGCACATGCTTTGTGCTTAATTTTCCATAAATATAACAAATGTAATAAATTTTATTTTATGGAGTTAGTCACTTCGGTTTCTGAGAGCCTCAATTCTGAATTACAAAGTAATATTAAATTTGCTACCATCTCTTTTTTTGGATTTGCAATTAAGTTTGAAGTGATCAGTAGCACCTTACATCATTTGGGTGCTAAAAAATTTCTAACTTATTTCTGAAAATTGCACAGTACGTAGCCCGAAACCGTTGGCCCACAAAGTACATACGTAAATCGTAAATTACGATGCATCTCATTGCGGTACTTTTTTATCACAATTCCCACACCACTTCACTAGTATCCTTCAAAACGAATTCGCCGCGAATGGACATTACAAGCCGCGATATCGTCGAGACCCCCTCGTCCCTTGTCCAAAAGAATAAAAAAGCCTGCCGCTGCCTCTTTTGTTTTCAACTTTCCGCGGTTGAATTGCCGGGCTTATCGTTATACCGGGGAGTCTAACGCCAAGTGTTTACGACGCGAAGAGTACAGGTGCGAGGTACGCGGCGTAAAAATAATTGCGTTGCGCGCTGCCTGTCACAATTCCACTCTCACCCGCGCGGTGCTTTTTACTCGTCGTAAAGCCACCCCCTTGTAGCGTTCGCTGTTATAAAACCGTCGGAATATACAGATGCCAGGTCCCGGTGCTCTGTAAAATAGAAATTCGTTCCCCGTGGCATTTTTACGTCGTCAATTTCGAAATTAATTTCTCCCTCTCTCCCATCCCCTCTTCACTATCAACACTCGCGTAACGCCCGAAATTTCTCGAGACAAGAGGAACGAGTAATAGCAATTCCCGGGGAAATCGATCTGACCGCTGGTAAGAATCCCTCGATGGTCGGAGGTGGCATGGTCGCGATATCCACACGATTTAATGGTCCCACGAATGATTCAGTATCTCTCATTTCGCCGCGGTGTTGCTTCGCCTCTCTCTCTCTCGGTTACGGAAGAAAGGAGAGAAATTGGCGGCTGGAGTGGGTCAGCCGGGGCCATAAACGCGAATTTAGTTATATCGGTGGCACCGACGCTGTCCCACGGGCGCAATAAATATCTGCTCGCCACCGTTAAGACGTCTAGTATTGCTCCCAGCCTGTATGACCCTGCTAGCTAGCCGCCTAGCCACTTCATCACCACGTTCCCGCCCGCTCCTTCCTCTTTCTCCCTCTCGGTTCGTGTCTCTCTCTTTCGATCGCTCGATCAAATATGTATCGACGGGCGCAAAACGCTGCACCGCTGATTTTACGAGGCTCCCGGTTGTTTGTCGCGAATGGACGCGCGCGCGCAGAGGTGAGAAAAATAGGACGCCCGACGGGTTTTATGGCCGAATTCCATTTTTACACCGGCTGGATGAAATTGATCGCGCGAACTGTCGTAAACGAATTACGGAAAATCGACGATAGATATGGAGGTTCTTGCGGATTCCGATGGATTGGATTTCTATGTTAGACTTGCTCGATTTAGAGATTTGTTAACCCTTTACCTTACCTAAACGTAGAATTCTTTTTACCTTTGAATTTCATGGAAATAAGCTATGAAGCTTCTTTGACTTTTTATTAAAATATTTCTCGCATTTTGCATGAACTCGTAGGATACTCTAATACCTAATAATCCTCGGTGTTTATCACAGGCACGACTTTCTTTCATCTTATCTCGACGATAACCTGTGTTACGAGTGTAACGAACCGAAGAATTGGAAGATCCAAAAGAAGCCTTTCGATACGACTTTTTATTCGCCAACCTTACAATATCCTCCGCAACTAATGCCACATTTTTTCCCCCAAATCTTTATCACAGCTACGAACCTATTCACAGACTCGTCGGAACTTCCTCGGAGCGCGTTACTTAATTTCCTCGGTAGTCTAGACGATACCGCGAGCAACGTTCTCTCCTAATGGTCAAGCATAAACGAACGTAAAAACAGACCTAATCCCCCGCCGGTAATCATCGAATCGTCGCGAGAGAATAGTTTCTCCGGGGGAACGATTATTACGGTCGGTTGTTCTTTTCACTCGCGTACGTCGACGAGGGACGTAGAAGAAGGCGGATGGAAAAGGAGTCCTTTCACGGTTTTACGAGATTCCCCGTGATTTGCCGTGACCGATCGGAAGCAAAGAAGAGCACGGCGGCGCGTCGGGGGCGGAGTTAGAGTACGGCGAACTCGATCGTTCGGAGAGACGAGGAAGAAAAAGATGAACAAGCCGGAAGGGCGTTCCTTCTTTTATCCCCGTCTCGACTTTACTCGCTTTAAAGGTCCGCGCCAGCGTGATACCCAATCGCGGAGCGTCTAATTATTGCTGGTTAAGTGGCGGTAATTGAAGGGGGGCGAACGGATCCGTGAAATTGAAGAAATCTCGTCGGCTAGCTGGGTCGGCGGATCGGATACCGATCGGCTGGGTAATTCGAGGAGTGGCTTGTTGATAATACGAATCGTGGCGAATTCTCCGCCGAGGGAATTGTCTCTCTCCGTGGTGTCTACGGCGCGCTGTTTGCGTGCCTCCCTCTGGGGGAATCGAAGTGTCAGATTAATCTGCCGATGTCCAAGAGGAGAGACGTGTCTTGTGTATCCTCGTGTTTCCTGTGTAACTGGTAGATTTGTGTCTTGTACGTGGCTTTCTCCCTCTCTTCGGTTCGTCCCTTGCTGGTTAGGTCGATGTAATATTTGCCGTCGAGATTCTTTTTTCTTTTTCCTTTCGATAAAATCTCACGTTTCTTCGTATCGCGAAGATAAAGATTAATAGATGTTATCGATTTTTCCCTTATCTCAACATTGATAAGCACCTTTATCCGATGAAATCTGTAATTGTTCTCCTCCGATAAGGTATCAAAGTCCAAGGAGTTAAAAGTACTTAACCGCGATAGAAATCGGAGAATGACTGGGAAATCTGGGAATTAGGTACTCCGGGGAATTGATCTGTTTTTATCTTCAACCACCACAGACGGTATTGATTCATCGTTCGTCACCCCGTTCCTTCGAGCCTCGTAGCGAGCTTCTCGATGCAGAAGTCGATCGCAGAACGCGTCGGTCGAGTGTAAGTTACGAGCCACGGGTCCCCGTTCTTTCCCCATTCGTCATGGGAAGCCACCGCTTTACATATGCATGGAGAGTAAGCGAGCATGTAACGGCTAAGTGGTCACATCCCCTTACGTGAAAGTTAAGTGGGCATGGCAGCACGAGCCGTGGCCACGGGCCGAGAAAATTATCTTCAATTATCTCGTGCAATCGTGGGCCCCTTTTGCTCTCTCTCTCTCTCTCTCCTTAGTATTCGCGATCCTCATCGACCTCTTCTCCACGCGACTCGCGAACCTTTCCGTGATTTATTATCCAACCAACCTATTCTACGCTCTGTGAATTTTTCACTTAACCTTTTATCGAAAGCCGACGAGGAAATTCTGGCGAAATAATTGATAGTATATTTCGCCAGTGAAAAATCATCATCCTCCGTTATATCGACAGGGTGGAATATCCAAGTAACACGATTCCTCGTTCCGAGAAGTCCTCTCAATACCGTGTTCCCGGTAACACCGAGGAAATTACACCGCGGACGAGATAAAACGTCAGATTTCCACGAACGAGGCGCGATTTAGCCGCCTGTACAGTTAATGAAACGTTTCGCCGACATTTATCAGTTATTCAAACGATCGGTCGACGCGCAAATTGATACATTAGGCAGTCGGTAGCGTAACGGATCTCTTGCTTCCCGACGCCGCGCCGGCAAGAAGTTGTTCCTTCGTGCTTCTTGCCGTTTCTCCGCGCAAGAAAATCGAGTTGTCCCTTCTCTGGAGCACGCGATCGGGACTAAGTTCGTCTTGTAATTTACGTCTTATTTCCACCTGTTCGAATGGTATACCTTACCAGAGGAGATTCTAAGCGAAGCGTGGATTTTATCGTCCACGGTGCGTTGCACACTTGCTACCTTTACATTTACAGCTCTAGCTCCCCAGCGTTCAGACCGCAAACCTCCGTTTTCCATTGGCTTTTTCTTACGCGAAACGTCGGCCCGATCGGCCGTTTCCACGGTGAGCCGCGCAATTACGTTGCACAACAGTCACTCCTGGCCTCCGGTAGTCGGCGAGGCTTCTATGCGGCCACTCGCAGATATTCGTTTATTATCCGTGTCATTACGGTGGATGTTGAGGTCTGGTCTAATGGTTATCGAGAGGAAATTTGTAATTGTGACGAATTTTTTTTACTTTTCTGGGTGTACGAGAGGTGCAGGCCTCTTTCGCGGTCATTTTTTAGCGGCTGTAATCGAGAGGCAATTTTAATCTGTTAACTGGGGAGGAAGAGTTTCTATTAAATGTCTAATTATAGTCTGGAGGGATTCAATTTTCTCATCTGTGCTGGGAGTTAAATTAATATATTCTTTTTTTTTTTAAATAAAATGTCTTTTCGGTTTCAAATCATATATTTGCTGAACAAATAAGTAAATAAATATTGGGTTCGTGCAGACTTCGATTTGAATAAATTAAATTATACGATGTTTGCATATATTCTGCAAAATGATTTTTTCATGTCTCTTTCTTATTATGAATTATACTGTTTCGAAGGTGGAAGAAAGCAGAGTACATTTCTGATACTTAATGTATTTATCTTACAGAATAAAGAAATTACTGCTTTAAGATATGAAATTTACTCATTTACTTAAAAATCTGAACGAATTTTCCAGACAACCCAGATCAATATTTATTCTTTTTAAAAAACAAGGAGCTTGCTCCAAAGAGGTTTCCCACACGAAGAAGATTCACGCGACGAAAAATTCGATTACCGCGCGACTTTAGAATCAGCGATTAAATCCACGAGACAAGACTGGCTGGTCCGCGCGCGTTTCCTGTCGCGTCTGAATTATTAATCGTCGCCCGGATACTTGCATTAAAGTTGCTAGACGGCCGAGCCTTCTCTAATCCTCGCATTAATCAGCCGCGTGTAACGCGTTCCCGAACCGCGCGAAACCGAACCGAACGGAGAAAGAGACGTTTTACAGGCACGGCGAACGATATTCAGCCTGTTACGCAACCGCCACTGCCACGAACAATTAAAATTTACCGTCCAGGTAACGATAAACTCCGACAACGTAATCCCCGCGACCGGGTCGCGCATAAATTTCACGTTTAACCGTCGAACGAAGCGCGAGAGGCGAAACCGCGCGCTCGTTGCCCAAGCCAGGGCGTTCTCTTCCGGGCCCGGAGCAATAAAACCTGGCCGCCATCTTTTCATACACGCCTCTATACACACAGGTAACCAGAGAGAAAGTCCTCGGAGTCGCAGGTGGCTCGATGATAACGCAAAACCGAGAGACGCGTGAAACCGTTGTACACTTGGTTCACGCTTCCTCGACAAACGATTCCAGATAAAAG